TAAAGATTTTATTTTGGAAACCATGAATCAGAATTTATTTGTTCTGAACTCACCTATTTCACGTTGAAATTTGACATTTCTTGATTTGCAATTTCAAAAGCAGAATTGACCCTTTGCTAAGCCACGCCCCCCTTAGTTACTGTTGCTAAGTCCGACAAACTGTCGGAGTTGTCACTCTTTTATCACGGCACTGCCACTGCCTATTACTGCACTTCCCGGAGAAATGCTGTCTAATTTTTGATAAAAGCGATCTCAGAAAGAAGCAGACACAGTTCCACTGTGCATTTAAAGGTTTTATTGAGTCTGTCAAACTGACTCAAACTGACGTGAAAAAAATGAAAGACAGAAGCTAAAGCCTACCGATCACACAGTACAAGTAAACCACCGTATTACCTGACAACTGAGAAAGAGGACAACGATATTAAGGATCAACACTGTTCCTGTACAGCTGGGTGGGTGTCTGTTCGTATTACAATCATTACAAAGCTAATCAGTAGGGCTTTATAACGTTACATTCAGTAGGAAGTTAGCTAGCGTAAGCTTAATAACATTACATTAGAAACAATCCACAGCCTACATATTTCTGGATTTATTTTAGGTTTTGGAAAGGGGAAAAAATTGTACTTGTCCTTTCAATCTCTCTGGGTAGCAACTGTAATTATTACAAGTGCCCCAGGAACAGCTTTGACCATAACTTAGAAAAATACAGGCAAAAAAAAACAACACTTTTTTCATTACAGTAAATGGAGCGCAGCCATGAAAGTGTCGGACCTCAGTTAGAGCGAGTCCTATACTGTGCTGTGATTGGCCAGCTGAGTATTCATGGGGTGGCTTAGCGAAGGGTCAATTGGAATATACTTTTTCCAATGTTTACAAATACAAAAAAATAGACTCAGGTTGCTCAGATTCGATAAGTGAAATTGAGATCCAAAAGATTCAAGTCGAAAACTGCAACATCCGGACTAAGGGAGGGACTAAACTGATTTGGGCGTGCCTACCCAGTATGGCTTGTGGGAAGACTCAAAAAAAAATAAGACACAGAAAACGAAAGGAGCAGGAGATGCAGCTCAATTCAAGAAACTAGAGCATGTAAGGTTTTTGAATGAGCGACGTACGAATATACCTGCTGGTGGACATATGTCATTTCTTGCATCTAAAGTGTGCGCACCAGTCTGTAGCTCCCTTGTGAATTTCACTTTAATGTACATAGAGGAGCTGCTAGCAAAACTTTATTTTCCGTTTTAAACTTTATAACGTTACTCCAACATAACAAACTCCTCTCTAACTCTAGCTCACATCTCCAACAACAACCTTCCTTCAACAACTTGCCTCTCACGAAATTTCAGAGCGCCAGACACCTGGTATAACAGTCTGAGCCTGTCAGTGGCAAAAAGAAGAACTTTTTGTACCTACTAGTTATTTCAACACCAAAATGTGAAAGTAAGCCCAGGTTTAAAAATACCAAAATTAATTTAACTGCCACTTAAGACTTTCAGCATTTCAGCTATTTCATTTGTTTCAACTAAACATTTTCAGCAGTAAGCACACTTTTTTCCCCAGAAAATTTAAAATTTTCTAGTCTAGTCTAGTAAGTCATTCTAACATACAATGCTCCCTCGTAACTTTTGCTCTCTGATGACCACAGATGGTGATTTAGGAGGTTACTGAAGCCAGATTACCACTATTGACATTACCCAACTGCAAGCCCCTTACTTCATTCCCCACCCATTCAAGAATCACATTAAGGTTGCGGAGAGCTATTTATTGCTTTTGGCTTTTCAATTAAGCTGGATAATTTGTGTCCACCTCCTTTAGATTAGATTTTAAATGAGAAACATGTTGTACCATTAATTATCACAATTCTTATTTTGTGGACAAAGCTCTTTAACACCCAGCTGAAAATAAAAGTAAAGAAAAGAAAAAGATGAAGAGAAGAAAAAAATGCAAACGTGATGGACAACACTGGTGAAAGCTGGACAGTGGATGAATAATAATAATAATACATTTTATTTGTAATACACTTTCTATGTAAACAAATCCCAAAGTGCTACATGTTAAAAACAGGTATAGGCTAAGTGATGGCTCAGTAATAGTAAGAAGTGCTATGACAATGATGGCTGTTCAAAGAGCCCTCTGCCTTGCCTGGTGGTGTGACCGTCAGAGTACCTGATATCCTCCCGTGCTGAGGTGTGTGGTTCTGACCTGAGGTGGTGTTGGTAAGTTGCAGAAGATGTTTGTTCCTGCGTCCAGCACCCCTCCTTCCCACCCAGCTGAGGAGCGAACACTTCACTCCGAGTCAGCTCTAAAAGTGGGTCAGGCCTCTGTGTATCTCCTGCCGCTGCTGCTGCGGTTTGTCTACAGCACTGCTTCTGCCTCTGGAATCTACAGCAGGACGTGCTTATGCAGCAAGATACTTGTGAGATACTACAGACACACACAGCAGCAGGCTCAGCGCTATGCAATATATACAGTATATATACATATATAAAACAATCATGAGAAAATTGAGCTGAAAATATGGAAATAAATACTGACAATACTGACTGAAACGTGAGAATATAGAATTAATGTGGATTGAATGAAACTTATTATTTACCACTATTTCCACCATTTGGAGAAATAGTCGACCAATCAGGGCTTTGCAGGTTGTAATCGGAATGTGAATCTTTCATGTCTTTCATCTGTCATCTTTCATAGCTACCTTGCTACATCCATAAAGAACTGCGTCAGAAGAATTGGCCTCAGAAAAGGCTACTATTGGGCATGAGATGTGCAAAGCAGTACAGGTTGCTGTAAATCAATCTGCAGAAATTACATTGGCATATTTTTTCTAGCTTCTTGCTTCTAGCACTCGCTAACAAAGCTTCCATGATGACATCAAAACCTTAGTTAGACTAGACTAGACAACTATTAACACAAATTCAACTAATCCCCGTGAATTCAGCGCTACTTGCAATTTTGACCAATCACCGCAACTTTTCCACAAATTTGTCCAATCATTGCCGTTTCCCAAAAAACGTTGTCAGACGTCACCTTGTTTACAAGACGCAGCAGACATGTGTGATACTAATGTCTCACTTTTGCCGACAAAAAAACAGGGCTGTGAAAAACAGGATCCAGATCTTCTTTACCAAAGTGGTGGTAAACTGGTCGAACATTAAAGGAAATGGTCTATTGTCCTATTGTTATCATCTTGACTATTGCTATCATTATTCTATTACTCATTTTTATTGATAGAATAATGATAGGAATAGCAGCTGCAGCCGGATGGCCGTCATGCATTCTGGCTCCGATGTCACAAGCACTGGCCACATGAATTCTGTTTCCCTGCATATAAATTTCCACCATAATTTGGTGCAGAAAATGTCTCTAGAATGCAGGAAATCAAGAGTTTAATGCTAAAAAGCGTCTGTGGGAAGACACACAGACCCCCCAATCAAATTGCCTATGTCATCAATGAATATTTCCTGTAAAGGAGTACCTTGTTGTCTTGTTCTCAAGACTCCAATATTGTGCTTTCTCACATTCTATTTTGTATAGGCTTTGCCCTCTAAGGCTATCGCTATTGGGTTTACACCTCCGCGTGCCTGCGCGGCCCCTGAGAAATTTTGTCTACGCCCACCAACAGCGTGGGCCTCTCCTACATCCGCACCTTGTATATATACACACGCAACGGTGAGACGTAGCCTTCGGCTCCCATTTTTCTTCAGCACTGAGTTGTCTATAGAGCTAGAAGACCGGATAAGGAAGAAAGCAACCAGCTACGAAGAGCAGGGCTGGACTGGCCATCGGGCATTTCAGGCATTTGCCCGATGGGCCGACGTGCTTTGTGGGCCCGTACATACTTTAATTAATTATTTTATTTTATTTTTTTTAATTATTATTTTTTTGTCTGAATGGCCTATAAAACTCGCACATCGGGCATTTTCTTCTTTTGTGGGCCGATGTTTTTTTTGTTTTTGTTTTTGCAACGGTATAAACTATTAAAGGTGGTGGATTGGCCAATTGGTCATGATCGACTCTGGGCTGGACCAATTATAGCCGAGGAGGTCAGATGCACCCTCTCCCTTCAACGGATCAGCAATGAGCAATCACATATTATTGCTGCTGAACAAAAATGGAGAACAAAAAACGTAAAGGAGGCGCCGAAAAAATTAGGGCCAAAAAGAAACTAGCCCTTCAGGCAGATGCTGCCAAATGTGCTAAAATATCACAGTTGTTTGGTGGTGGCTATAGTGGAGCTTCCACTTCAGTAAAATTAGCAAGTGATGGAGGCCAGCAGGTTGAAGAGGGAAAGGGGAAGCAGAAGGAGGAGAGACCCGAGGCGGCCGCCGGTCCAAGTGGCAGAACTGAACTTGAGGTAAGAAGTTATGAGCTGCAGTCTATATCTGGGTCAGATTATAAACCAAGGTTAGGTGCAGCCTCTCTCAACCCGTAAATAAATGCATCCATCGATGATCCGGTTCTAATCCGCGCTCATATAGTTTTTTTCTCTCTCTCATCAAAACCGAATATGTTCATCAGTGGTACAGACAGTCTACATCAAGCAGAGACACGTTTGTGTGCATTTTATTTTGTGATTTCACCGGAACGAATAGAGTCTCCGACTGCGATGAAGCGCGCGTCCGAGTGAAGAATGTGCGCGACATTCTCATGTCATTGGACTCCGACATGGTCATTGACAGGGTAGCTGAGAAGAGTGACCTGCTGAGAAAGCTGCTGTTGTAACCTGGTGGGGTGAAATAAAATTATCAAAACATTCCTAATTATGTTTCAGTTAAGATTAAATTCAACTTTATTGTTATTGCCTAAAAGTACAGTCAAATGAATAGGTTTTGTGTCTATCTTCACTTCAAACAAGTCACGTGCTCAGAAAATGCTTAGAATGTGTCCATCTTAATAGGTTTTAATGCATAAGACAGTAGATAGAATAAATATTAGATAATATAAATATGAGAGTTTTCTTACAGCCTTAATCTGTCATTGTTTCGTTTCAGACCGTCAGTCAATTTTGGAAGCCTGAAGTGGGTTCATTTTAAGTACTATATAGAATATGATTCAATTTCTCTAGAGTAAACATACCAGTAGTGTCATCGTCTAAAAAAATCCATTAAGTGCAAGTCTTTCTCACCCTTCGCTGTCTGTCCTTTCACTTCTTAAAGGTTTCCATATGTTAAGATATGTTCAGTGTTGCTGCTGTGGAAGTGTTGTGGTTGACTTTTTATTGATGCAGTGAGTAAATAGTCTTTGGTGATACAATTCAATCACAATCTGTCCTTAATAGATTTTAATATTTATCTAATCGTTGTTCCTCTCTGTCCTGTTTTTCAGGGTCTAATCATTCTTTAAGAGGTTCTCTAGACCATGCAACTTTTTAAGTTCCTACCTAAGTACTACTGTATATGATTCAGCTATTTTTGTGGAATAAAGATACAAGTAGTGTGATCATATGAGCAAGTCCAACAAATGCCATTCTTTCTCACCCTTCTCTGTCCTTTTTACTTGTGTCCTTTTTTTCAGGGTCCCATCATAATTTCTTAAGAAGTAAGTACTGTATATGATGTCAGTATTTTCCAACATTTTCTAAATACTGTACCAGTACTGTGTAAAATGCCTTCAAAAAGTCAATTAAGTGTTATTCTTTTTCACCTTTCTTTCTTTGTCTCCTTTCACTTTTTAAAGGCTGCCATGTTAAAAAAAATATTTTGTGCTGCCATGCTGTTTGTTGATGTGGTAAATAAATAGTTTATGAAAATACCACTAAATCTGTCATTTATTAATTTTAATATTCATTAATGATCATGTCTCACCTCTAGTCTTCTCTGTCTTAATTTCAGGTTTCCACCATGTGTTGTAGATAGTTCAGGAGGAGGTTAACTTGACCAAGCAGTCTTTTGTTTTCCGCTAATTACTGTTTAGAATACCAGAATAGGGAGGATGATGTAGGTTTAAGTTTATTAGATTGATACATATATACCAACAAGACAGTGTACATCGCTGTCAGAACAGCGTTTGTTTTCATTCAAAGGCTTTATGGCTTTGCCAATAATACTTGGTGGGCCGGTCTCTAGTCAAAATGCCCGGGCCGATTTTTTGTCCCAGTCCAGCCCTGACGAAGAGCCCTATGATGTCTTCCTCCTGGCCGATGAGAACGGGGCGAGATGATGCCGCCACCGTCTGGCTGTGTCGCATCTGTGGGCTTGCAGCCTCCTCTGTGCAGGAGGCCCAGGGGGACCACCACGTGAGCCGCTGACATGAGGCCCAGAAGCCTCATGACCGACAAAGCAGCTCCATCAGAGCATCCACACTCTCCTGAGAGAGCCGTGCTCTCCTCGATGCCTTGGTCCGGTGCACGCCGGCGAGTGCTTATCCCCGGCTCACAGTGCCCGTACTGCGCCCTCCTCTCCCCCGAGGAGCGGCAACGCTGGGCAGATAACTTCGCCATCCAGGACGAGGAAGTGTGGCAGCCCACACACTCATTAGATGAAGCCATGGGAATGCTGCTGCCAGATGAGCAGGAGTCGGATGACTCCGCTCTCTCCATCCGCGGGTCTCCCAGCAGCTCCCTGCTTCCCCTGTTCCAACCTTCGGTGGATGCTGGCCTTCAAGTGGGTGATTCCAGCCTCGAGGGGGCTCTCTCTGGCGACATCTCCATCCCACTGTCGTCCACCGCCATCTGCTCGTTCCCCCGGCCCAAGAGTTCGCTCCACCGGATGAAATGGCCGCCGTTCTCGCTCTTAGTCAGTCGGCTAAGCGAGACCCGGTCTGGCCGCACTTCCATCTGATTACCACTGTTCTGGCCTCCCAGGCGGTGCAGTGGCTCGCATTGCTGACAGGACCCTCCAGTGCTCTTTTTAGAGCTCCGCCTCCGCCAACAACACGGCGCTGATCGTCTCCTCCTTCACCAAGCTGGCAGCTAACTCTACCACCATGACAGAGGAGGAAAAGGAGAAATGGGCTCCACAAACTGTTTTGAAATAAAACACAAACAGAGCCCTAAAGAGCTTTTTCATGGGCCCGCCGCTGTCTCTACCGAGTGAGTGGCCGCCTTTTCACACATTTCCTCCACCCTTCTCGGACCGGCTGTAGCTGGCCAGACGGCCTTCACACAGCCTGGCTCCAATGTCATAAGCAGACCTTTCCCTCCCCTACCAACCACTGCCTCTGCGGAGCCAGTGGCCGCCGCTCAGCTTGTTTCTCCCACATTACACGGTCCAGCTGCAGCCAGCCGGATGGCCGTCATGCATTGTGGCTCTAATGTCACAAGCAGATTATTTCCCCTGTCGCCTGCCCCCGCCCCCTCGCTGGGGGAGAGACACGGCTATGAGCCCATGTGCGTGGAAATCCCACCTCGTGCGGACCCCGCCGCAACAGTGTCTGCCTCCCCCCCCCCCAAAGAGGCCGGGGTTGTGGTATGGTTGTGGTTGTGGTATTGTGGAGCGCAGCTACGGGGCCTCGTGTAGTCCCTCCCACTGGGCTGGGGGAGAGCACCCATACAGATCCCTCTGCCTGTGTGTGAAGGTCTCTGTCGATGTGGCCCGCGGCCCTTGTGGGGGCTCACCCCCCAACCCGTGACAGCGGTACGGGCAGCAGAGTGGCTTCTCTTCATGGCCACCGGAGCGCTCCATCAGCAGGCCTGACTCTCAGAGCACTACTCGGAGTGGCACGCTTCCTGCCCGATGGACAGATGGATAGAAAGTCTGATCTGCCGGGGTCACAGGCTGCAGTTCGCCTCACCTTGGCATAGTACTGGACTCCTCTCTCTGGAGAGCGCGGCTCTCTCAGGAGAGGGTGGATGCTCTGATAGAGCTGCTCCGCCGTGTTGTCAAGACGGGTGGTGGTGATGGCTTTGTCGGTCATGAGGCTTCTGGGCCTCATGTCAGCGGCTCACGTGGTGGTCCCCCTGGGCCTCCTGCACATGAGGAGGCTGCAGCGGTGGTTCATCCGCCTGCGTGTCGCCCCAGTGAGACACAGGCGGCTGATTGCCGTTCCTCTGTCTGTGGGGTTGGACCTGGCCTACTGGCAGGACACCCTCTCTCTATCATTCGGGGTTCCCCTGGGCAGGGTCACGTCCCACATCTCGGTCTTCACAGACGCCTCCCTGATGGGCTGGGGTGGGACCTGCCTTTCTCAGGCACATGCTGGTCCGCACCGACAACAGGGCTGCGGCGGCCTACATAAACCGCCAGGGTGTGGTGCGCTCAGCGCAGCTGCTGGCTTTGGCAAGACTGCTGCTCCTGTGGCCACACACTCACCTGCTCTCCATCAGAGCAGAGTAAATCCCTGGCGTGTTGAACAAAGGGGCGGACATCATGTCGAGTGGGGGCCCTCGCCCAGATGAGTGGCGCCTCCATTCCGATCTGGTGGCCCAGATTTGGGTCCGGTTCGGCGTAGCAGAGGTGGATCTGTTGGCCAACAAGGAGAACGCTCAGTGTTCCCTGTGGTTCTCACTCAGCCCTCGGGACGTTCCCCCGCTGGGGGTGGATGCCTTTGCGCACCCCCTGTGGCCTCCCCGACTGCTGTATGCTTTTCCGCCTCCGCTTCTGGATCGCCTACCGTTTTCAACCTCAGCTGTGATTCTGGTGGCTCCAGAGCGCACGAGCGCTCCCTGTCTCCAGCGGTTGCTGGCAGGACAGTCGTGGAAACTCCCCTGGAGGGGGGATGCCCTCTCGCAGGCGGGGGGCACGAGTTACCTGCTCCTCCCTCTGAGAGGCGGCACCTTGAGGGTCTAGGTCTCGCCCGTGAGGTGGTTTCCACCATCCAGGGATCGCCTCTACTCAGTCCTCTTACTCCTCTAAGTGGTCGGCCTTTCGACTCTGGTGTTTGAACCAGAGGTTGGAACCAGTGGCCTGCCCGCGGCCGGGGGTGCTTTCGTTCCTCCAGCTGCTCATGGACAGGGGTCTGGTGTTCCATACAGTGAAAACCTACACTGCCGCCATCTCAACATAGTGGGGGTGAGCGAACACCGCCCTCGTGACAGGACGGTTTTCGCTCACCCCCTGGTGAAGCGTTTCTTGTAGGGGGTGCGGAGATGCAGGCCGGTGACGCAGGCCGTTGCTCCACAGTGGGATTTGGCGCTGGTCTTACGCGCGTTGACCCATGTCCCTTTTGAGCATTTAGAGACGGCGGACCTGAGATTACCTTCGACCAAGGTCGCCTTACTTGTGGCTCTGACATCGGCCAAGAGGGTGAGCAATCAGCTGCCCTCTCTGTGACTCTGTCGTGTCTCAGGATTCAGGGTGACGGCAGCTTGGCCAGCTTGCATTCATGCCTGAGTGCCCAGCTCCTTTCGATCGCGGGTGATTACTCTCTCAGGCTTCTTTCCTCCCCCCCATGAGACTGTGGATGACGCTACGTCCCACTTCCTCTGCCAAGTGCATGCGCTGTCCTGTTATGTGGCACGCACGGCCGCCTGGCGCTGTTCGCAGCGCTTGTTTGTGCACTACAGGGAGCGGTCCAAGGGACTACCCCTGTTAGCGCAGCGCCTGTCTCACTGGCCATCCAGTTCCCTGTTTATTACGCAAGGGTCGGCCCTCTGCCTCCCATGTCACGCCATTGGTGCTTGTGCGCACGCCGATGCCAATGCCGCAGACAGCGGGTGACTGGGTGGCTCATTTCATGGCTCTGGGCAGGTGAGTTTTGTGCTTGGTGGTACCGTATGGGCCAGTGAGGCGTTGACTCATCCTGCTTCGCCTCTAACCCAATGGCATTAGCCTTAGAGGGCGAAGCCTATACGAAATAGAACAGAAGTTATGTACTGTAACTCCAGATTCTATGCGTATAACACTTTTCAACACAAAGTAACGCCCTTGAGCACGACAAACTACATCTTCTAAATGACCATAAAGTTGAGTCCCAAGCTGGATTAACCCCCCAGGAGCTCTGGGCCCCTCTTTCTCAAAGTGTATATGTGCAGTTGCCTTTAAAGGAATAGTTTAACATTTCTGGGAGACTTATTTTCTTTCTTGAAGAGAACAGTTGAACATTATACCTGTTAGGAAGGTAGGATTTTTTAACATTAGTTTTCAACACTTTTATTTTATTATTTATTCTATTTTATTTTTATTTTACACTTGTGCATAACATTTGTTGTCTCTTTTTCTTTTTGTCATATCACTAAATTATAATAGTTTTACTTTGGTAATACTGAACTTAATTAAGCACTACCAGTGAAGTAAATTTGAGTTTTCATTTGAGAGGATGCATGTATATATGTACAATATATGTATACATGTGCATGCTGTGTGCATCCCGAGTTCCCCTGGCGTCCCGGGCTGCTTAACATGTCATAATAACCCCGCCGGCTGAATTTAAATCACATTTCTGTGCTCTCTCGGGACAGCCTGCATGTTTCTCTCACACTGAAAAGCTTTTCTTCTAGAAGCTG